AAGTCCTATTTTCGATTTTATGTTATTATGTACATTAGGATCATTTTCTCACTCTCATTACGTAACATTGGCATCTTGTGAGCGTTGCTTTACAAGTGTGTGTATTTAACTGGAAAGGAAAACTGTAGTCCAATTTGGAATATGTAACCGACTAGATAGCTTAATTAAATCGAAGGTTCATCACGGAGTTAACCAAAGCCCTTCACTGTACCTTGAAATTGATCAACAAAATCCAGCGTGCTCCAACTCCTATCTCCCATAGATCCCGCCTGAGATTATCCTCCCATCTACGTCTAGGTCTCCCCAGAGATATCTTCCCCTCAGTATTCCCAACCATTACCAAGTGCATACTTATTCTTCCGCCGATGTGTGCCACATGCCCCAAACACCTCAAGCCTTCTCGACTTAATCACCCTGACAATATTGGGAGTGGATTACAAATTTTCAAGTTTCTCTCTATGTAGTTTTCTCCAGACTACGTCGTCTTCTCCCCTGGCCTCAAATATTGGAACACATCCACATTCAAACAAATGTTCAGTGATTTGGAATGTTCACTCATCTTGGTATTTATTTAATCAAGTTGCGTATCAACTCTTGGTTAGCTAAACAGTGATACAAGTATTTCAGGTTACATAATCATAAATTCCATTGTCGATAAAGCTAATTAATAGTGCAGTTGTTAAATCTGTAGGGAATGCAATGTTTCTCTATTCTATTAAATACGTGAGAGAAATAAATTCCCAAATGAAAGTTACAGATCTTCACAAGTTCTGTATTTTACACCAGTTCCTAAAGCCCTGTTTCAGAAATGTGAATTCCTGGTAAATATTCGGTCATGCCACAGCCCTGAATTATGAAACAGATTCAGTGCATGTATTCCAATTGAAAATTGAGAAATTTAAAGTTTTATTTCAACTTAGATAAAAGTCTGTAATTGTTTAAATAACAGGATTCTCTTAATTTCTTTGTCTTCTCCTGTGATCTAAGTTCTACTCACTGGAATTGTTTATTTATTGAAAATATCACTCTTTTTTTTCAGGAACATTGGGGAATTCACCCAACATGTGGTATTGGTGCAAAAACCATTTTAGTGAGTCGATTGTGAACACTAATTTTCAAGATGGTATTAAAGAAAGAAACTTCTATAACATGTCAAGCATAACTCAATTCTGGAAGGTATGAATTTAAGATAAATATGCGATTGAGACTTACATAAATGCTGTTAAGCAGAGATAATGAAGTGATTTAAGAAACTCATTTGCTAATTAAGTGATTAAGTAGTCGAGAAAATTACTATAAAAAAGGTATCCAACTGTACAAGAAATTTTCTATTATGGTACCAGAAGGTTAATTAATATCACTTTAAAGTCAGTGTCCATACAACCAAATCCGACCTGGTGTACCCAAATGGTCTCTTTCTACGAAATCTTAGAAATAATATTTTGTACGAATTCCATCTGTCTGCATAATTTTTGTATGGCCTGCCAATCTCAATCTTCGAGATTTAATCACCCTGACAGCATTATGCATAAGTTATGAAGCAACACTTTCCCATTCTTATCATACTTTTTCTATCTTGGTGCAGAGAAATTGTTCTATAAATTTAATTCTTCAGGTTTTGGAAAGACCACATGAAGGTAACCCCCTTGTTAACTGTCTGTGGCATATTATTGCAAACATTCACAACTTCTGTCTATATTCAAGATGAAATAAATAGCACATTTTATTAGGGACTCAAAATCTTTTCTATTAACCCCCAGCACAATTTACTCGGGAAAACCATGGAAGACGAAATGGATAGAAAAAATAAATTTCAAGAAACATGTTCATAATTTTGGTTGAAGAATCTCAAGGAAAGAGACCACATGGAAACCATTGGCATATATAAAAGAACAGTATTAAAAAGTGTCCTGGAAGCAGGCAGGTTTTTCTCAGTATCACCAAATTTCTTTTAAAAAGTCATAGATCATCTGAGTACCTGCAAATTAACTGCTCTAAGAGTATTATATATCATAAAGAGTTAGTGACTGATAGTTCATATTTAGATAATGGTTTCAGAATGCACTGCTGTGTACAGTCGTTATATAATTTACGATCATTGTGTTTATAAGTGATTAACTAATTTTGTTTTCAGTTCGCAGAGACTGTAATGATCGACAGTATTTACGGGAAATCCGAAAATGTTACGCATCAAGCATTTGTGTTGCAAGATAATAAGCTGGTTGGAGTACCACGCCTACGACAGGTAGGAACATTTTTCTTTATAACATAAGATTTTCAGTGAAATAAAGTTAGCAATCTATTGATAATAAATGACTTATGATTCATAAGTTAATCTGAATATTTTAACTGTGAATAATAAAAAACAATATAGTGAATTCAGTAATGACAAGATACGTTCATATGAACTGTTTCATCATTCAGCATGTCCAATCAATAGGTGTCACGTTATTAAGGCACAGGACTTTTGTGTGTATTGGAGTAACTGGAATGCAAGTAAAACTTTATTGTCTACAGGTGAGAGTGAAAAATGATTCGTGCGTAGTACGTCAATCATTAAATCGATCAACCGAAGTATGTTATGAATCATATTCACGTTGGTACGAAGATACAAAACCATTTGGGCCAGGAAATGGAACAGCGTAAGTTTTCAATTAACATTTTCAGCAGAACATTTTATTGATGTAAATCAAAATATTTTCTTTATGTTTATAGGAAAACATATGAAAGATATATTTAAACACCACACAGACGCCTCTATAAAAGTGCTTGAGGAATTGGAACTGTTATTAGCAGATACATTATGTTCATGTAGTTCAACATGTTTATCTGATTTCATTTAGGACTTTTTCAAGAAAGTAATACAATGATGTGTGTGTGTGTGTATTATGTAGACAATCCAAACGAAAATTCTATGGGTAGGTTACAACATTTAAAGCTGAAATTTGGTTATTCACAAGAGAATTAACCTTTGACCTTCCTGCCAACTCATATGCATATATTAGGTGGAAACATTTATGCTATTTCGAGGTTCTTCCATTTGCTAGGATGAACCTATCTTCCTTTCTTGAATAACCTTTAAACGTAGATGTACATAACCAGAAATAATATTTCTGTGTTTGTATATTGGAATTAAAACAAGCAGA